GGGGGGTCCATTTCACTGCAGGGCAACTTGCATGTGACAAATAAAGTTTTCTTGAATCTTGTATAAGTTGCCATGGCAACATTAAGCCTGTTTGCATGTAGATCACTGAGGTTTTTTTTCTTCTCACACACACTGCGAATGCATCAAACATTGTAGAAGTTCATTTGTTTAACTTTTGTCTCATGAATTCTTGCTTGATGTAGTTTCTTTTGTTGCTATGATCTTTTGTTTATTAAAGGTCTAGTGTTGACCACAGAAAGAGACTTACTGTGGCAGTATTGTCATTTATGAGAAACTTGTGTGTGCAACTGATGGTTTTTGTATTCAAAGTAGAAAAAAAACATTGAATGGTTGATTTGAATGAGTATGCCAGTGCAATTTCAGCCACTATATGGTTGAAAATAACATTTGTTTTTGTAGTTTATTTAAACATATGGTGATATATATCGTATATTGTGATATAGCCAAATAATATCATGATTGTGACTCCATAAGGCTTTCATTGATATACTTTTTTTTCCGTTGTAATTTTGCATTTGTGAATCACTCCCTACTTTGACTCCTGAAAGCCTTAGCGTCTTTAAGGTGCTCTGTTTGTTTCAAGTCATTCTGTTTACCTGTAGCAATTAATTTAGAGTTACTACACATATTTCTGTAAGCATTACACAGCTAGTCTTGTCTTGCTTCTTTTCAGTTTTTACCCCTCACACGTAAAAGGCTGATGAGATATTTGCGTGACCCCACTTGGGTTAGAGAGAATATATCATAAAATATAAAATACTTTTTGGCATAGTGGTTGGACAGTCATAATTTAAGTGTTGTAGACAGCATGGATAGCTAAGTTTGTAAATGTGATAACTCAAAAATGAGGCGCTGTAGGAGCTTCAAATTCATATCATAGGTGTATCTGCTAGGAGGCTGAGGGGTCACACTGGTGGGGTCAAGCTTTTTTTTTTCTTTTTTCTTTTTTTCTTTCACATGATACAGCCTCAGCTTGAAGATGATGATTCCTGATTGTGTCTGTCTCTTTAGGTGTGGGTAACCAGCTTGGAGCACTCCCGTGTTAAAACCTGCTCTCTATATGCCAGTCCTACCGGTCTCAGCCCCTACCTGCGTTTCGGGTGTCTGTCCTGCAGGGTTTTGTACTACAACCTGAGAGAGCTCTACATGAAGGTACTGTCACAGATAAAATGACTCAAAACAACCGAAGGGTGGTTTAAAATGTCTTCAATTAATATTCATCTAAAAAAGGCCTTAAAAATATTACATTGACCTAAATTTGTATTGGATAGTTATTGCATGTTTCGCTTGACTACATCAGAACTTCCAGCAGACAGTGATTCAGTTTATTTTTTTAAGGTATTTATTAGTTTAAAAAAAATTATTTAATTTTTTTTAGATTACTTTTGCCAAGGAGTTCCCCTGTTTAAGAAGAGGCACCGAGGGGTGTGCTCCTACAGCAGGGGGATTACACTCTCTCAGCCTCTGGGAAAGTCTATGCAAGGGTATTGGAGTGGAGAGTCCATCTGTTTGTAGAGTCTTGGATTCTGCAGGAATAATCTGGGTTTTGTCCTCCTTGCGGACCTCTGGACCAGCTCTAAGTCCTTTCGAAGATATTCGAGGGTGCCTGGGAGTTTGTCCAACCACTTAAAGAAATGATTTGTTGACATGGAAAAGACATTCGACTGAGTCCTTTGACGTATCCAGTAAGTGGATCTCTGGCCCATTGTTACTGTCCATTTGTTCCCTGTAAACAAGAGCTTTATTCCTATTGATGGTAGTAACTTTTCACTACTGATATACAGCAGTGACAGTGAAGTGTCATTCAGACTAGAGGTGTAGTCTGATGGTAACAAAGAGAGGGAAGGTAGTCAGAACTGAGGGGATTGAACTACCACAAGGCAACATTGCAGACATTGAGGACAGCTACAAGTACATGGGAATCCCGCAGGCAAATGGGAACCACGAAGAGGTCGCTAGGAAACGCGCAACCACTAAATACCTGTGGAGAATCAGGCAAGTCCTAAGGAGTCCGCTGAATGGGAAGAACAAGAGCTGGGTTATCAACACCTACACCATGCCCGTGATCAAGCAATCAAGGAGGAGATGGAAGCCAGTGGCGTCAAGACAAGGAAGCTACTCACCATGCACGGAGGGTTTCACCCCTAATCCAGCACCTTGAAACTGTACACCAAGCGGAAGGAAGGAGGCCAGACACTAGTAAGTGTTACTACCACGATCAAGGATGACACAACGAACATCCATAAGTACATGAGGAAGATGTCCATGTCCAACCACATGCTCAATGAATACTTGAGGAAGCAGAAACCCAAAAAAGAGGAGCAAGAGGAAGAATCATCATGGAAGAACAGGCCCCTGCACGGTATGTACCACCGGCAGATAGGATTTCTGGATGTCAGCCACTTCCTCTATCAGTGGCTGGACAAAGCTGGATTGATAGACAGCACGGAGGCACTAATCATGGCAGCACAGGAACAAGCTCTGAGCACAAGATCCATAGAGGCTGGGGTCTATCACACCAGGCAAGACCCCATGACAAAATAATAGTGGCTAACTAACCGGACATAGTGCTGATAGACAAGTAGATGTAGTGATTCCGAATGACTGCAACATCAGGAAAAAGGAAAACGAGAAGTGCCAACTGCTCAGAGAAGAGCTCAAGAAGATGTGGAGGGTGAAGGTAACACTGGTCCCAGTGGTAGTTGGAGCACTTGGTGTGGTGACTCCCAAACTAGCTTGCACTTCAATAACCCCTCATTAATGGGGTTTTAACACAGTGTTAACTGAAGATGAATTACTTTCTCATCCCAGTTTTTCCCCTGTCTGTTTTTCCATCAGGTCCGCAAACGCTGTACTCCTCCTCTGTCCCTGTTCGGCCAGCTCTTATGGAGGGAATTCTTTTACACTGCAGCCACCAACAACCCAAACTTTGACCGTATGGATGGAAACCCCATCTGTGTCCAGGTGAACCTTTGCGGGGAGTGGATGTATAAATAAGCATTACTGTAGGTAAAAGAGTTATTAGCACCTGTCTCTAGATAAAGTGCCACAAACTGACATTTTATAATAAGCCGCCCCCCCAAAAAAAAAAAAGATAAACAGCTGCATTATCAATTTTGGAACTAGGTGAGAGAGACTGAAAAGTTGATTTCTCAGCTTATAAGTACAGGTAACATGTTTATCAGCCTAAATATATGTCTAAACACAGTTACTTACTATGTAACATGTTTGTTTCCAGATCCCATGGGACCAGAACCCAGAAGCACTGGCCAAGTGGGCTGAGGGTCGGACTGGTTTCCCCTGGATCGACGCCATTATGACCCAGTTGAGACAAGAGGGCTGGATCCACCACCTGGCGCGGCACGCTGTGGCCTGCTTTCTCACCAGGGGAGACTTGTGGATCAGCTGGGAGAGCGGCATGAAAGTAGGACTGTCTGTTTTTTCATTCAATCTGAAACCTGTTGTCTCTCAGGTGATGAACAGGTAAATTGACCTTATAAGACACGGTAACAGTGCTCCTTGCAATCTGGTTCTGTGTTCCTGCAGGTGTTTGAGGAACTGCTGCTGGATGCAGACTGGAGTGTGAATGCTGGTAGCTGGATGTGGTTGTCCTGTAGTGCTTTCTTTCAGCAGTTCTTCCACTGCTACTGTCCTGTTGGCTTCGGAAGGAGAACTGACCCGACGGGAGACTACATCAGGTATCTCGTACCATCACATTCTGAACACATCATTACCTCTGAGGGGAGGTAGCATGTAATCAATTCTGTTTGCTTGTTAGTCTGTTTTGTGACAGTCTAGCATCCAAAGTTTTCAAGATATAATTTCCAAATTTTGTGTTATAGTATATACCAATAACAGCTCAAAACATTGTGCACATGAGGACCAAATTGCTTTCTTTTTTTGTCCAATATAAGCTTGACGTCAGGGGCTTTTGAGCATGTAGATAACTGATGTCGTAATGCACTCATGTGAAAAGGATTAAAAATGTCTGTAAATTCTGGAATGGATGATTAAGCTCTGCTATAGGCTGACTTAAAGTGATTTGAAGTGAAACACATGCCATATTAAAGTTCAGATTATATTCTTTTGAAATCTCTGCAGGCATTACATCCCCATTCTTAAGGACTACCCGAACCGGTATATCTATGAGCCATGGAACGCCCCTGAGTCACTACAGAAAGCAGCCAACTGTGTGGTGGGAGTGGATTACCCCAAACCCATGATCAACCATGCAGAGAGTAGTAGGCTTAACATTGAGAGGATGAAACAAGTTTACCAGCAGCTTTCCCACTACAGAGGACTCAGTAAGTCATCATACCAAAGGGCAAAGTGTGCCACTCCCTTCATGTTGAGATTGGTTTGGATTAGGGCAGTGCAATATGAGTAGAATCTCACTGGTCCTGGTATAAGAATTTGTTTCCCTGGATTACGACATATATCACATCACAGTGCATTTTCTGTACATATATTACATAGTTAATGTAATCATTACATCAAAAGCACTATTTCTGTTTTACATTTAAATAAATCAAAAATGAAATGAACTTGGGGGCTTATGTGGCGTTATCCCATAGTGATACATGCTACATGACCCTATGGAGTCACGCAATTACTTCCCTGAGGCCTCTGCCTTTCATTACTGCTCCTGTATGTTTGTCAGGAATCTAGCTTGTGTACAAACACTGACTGCAGAGTGTCCAGTCTCGGTTGAAGTGCACCATTAAGCTAATACAGGAATGTGTTGGGTGTACAGACCATTCCACTCTAAAAACTGCACAATAATGCAACACAACAAAAATGTCCATTATGAAAACTCAAAATGGCATTATAACAGTTGCTGTTACTGCTATAAGAAGAATAGCACCTCAAGATCTTTTAACTGTGGGCCTAACCCCGCTGCAGGATATTTTTTCTTGAAAATTCCATCAGTAATTCATTCTAGGAATGTGCAATTCAAATAAGAGAGAGGCTTCTGTGGATTGACTTCTATTGGAGACCATTTGTTTTTGCACCTCACAGATGGTAACAGTAGCAGCATGACATGACAGTCTGTCTGTCGATAACCTGAACAGACTGATAAAAAACAGACACCCCAAGTCAAAATATACAGACACCCCAGGCCCGATCTAACAATCCAAGAAGGCGTCAGTTAAACAGAAGAATCTGTACTGATACTGTTGTGTGCCTGTGACTTGCTAATAAGCCATATGCAGAGCTGAATCCGATTGAGATGCTGTGGCATGACCTTAAAAAGGTGGTTCATGCTCGAAAAACCTCTAGTGTGGCTGAATTAAAACAATTCTCTAAAGATGAGTGGACCAAAATCTCTCCACAGTGCTGTGAATGACTACCAGTTATCACAAGCGCTTGATTGCAGTTGCTGCTGTTAAGTGTGGCGCAACTAGTTATTAGGTTTAGGGGGCAATCAGTTTTTCACACAGGGCCATTTAAGTTTGGATCTTTTTCCCCTTAATAATAAACACCTTTGTGCATGGAGGGAGTGTCATGTCATTATCTACCAATGACAGTGCTACCACAGTATATCTCGGCATAACAAATAATTGGGACAATATAAGAAGATTTCTCACTTTATCATTAGACAGGACATTAAATCAACATTGCACTTATAAAGTATGTATGTGTGTATGTTAGGTCTGCTAGCATCTGTACCAACAATCCAGGAAGAAGCAGAGCCACCGATGACTGATGAGTCCCAGACCAGCAGTGGCCCAGGTCGGAAGAAACAAAGAACCAAGATTCATTTTCTCCCTAACAAGAATGTTCACAAATAAAATGTACGCAATTTGCTCATTATTGTTTTCTGTTTGCTTAGATTCTCCTCAAAGAGTTCCTGCAAACACAGAGGAAGATGTCTGCTATGAAGCTCCTGATTCTTCGACAGTCTGTCCATCCTCCACATCAGCCCCACATCCAGACCAGGAGTACCAGGCTCCTTGCATCTCCTCAGGTTGCCACACTGATCCCAGTCATCCTCCTTCCCTTTCCTCAATACAGGGACACAGCCCACCGTTAAAGTCCAAACCGTGCTCCCCTTCATCTTCTTGTTCATCTCAGTCATCCTCATTGGGAACAAAGAGAAAAGGCCTTAGCCGCAAGGTGCGACGTGGCCAAAGGCAGCGAGGGCGACAGTACTGCACTCTAACAGCTCGCGAGGAGGCTACAGGACAAGAGGAGACGATGGAGGAGGACATGGAGCAGGAGGAGGAAAGAATGGAGGAGGAAGAGGAGACTTGTGCAGAAACTGCAGGACAGCTAGAGTGATAAAAGGTGAAACATTTGGTGTCTGCGTTTGTATTCAATACATAGAAACAAATAATTATTTACAAAATGTGGATTTTTGTTGCTAGTGACTGACATGCAAGCTCAGCAAAGTCACCAAAAGAAATGAGAACAATACTGAAAAGTTGAAGTTAAGATATCTGCTAAAAAAAAATCCCGTGCTCCTGTACCATGTCACACATTCTAATATAGCATTGCAGCACCTTTAGCTTTTATGTGGTATGCTATTGCATCACTTCAATAAGCTTGTGCATTGTCACATTTCTGGAGGGGAGTCAAGAACCGGTTGTCCCATTCCTTGAAATTGTTAGTCTGCTTGTTTGTCGATTTCACGTATCAATCCTAGTTGCACTTGCACTACAATCAGGTGATTTCAGTTTGTGTGTTGGAGGAGGATATTACCAGAGCAGTGAATATGGATATAACATTCAATTTTTACTGCACAAAAAGACAAGAGCACAGGGTAAGTTCAACCTGATCCAGGAAAGAAACTGCTGCGTTATACTGCTTCAGAATATCACGTTGCATAATCTACCAGACCTAATAGAAAGCAATATCCCTGTGTGCTCTGGTGAAATGGCCTGATGAGGTTCGGGCCAGTCACTCAAACACGACCTTAAGGTAGAAGGTCATTATTATATTCCATATGCCCTGTCATCGGGTTATAGTGAGCTGCCTGGAGCAGCTCCATCAGTGGGATGTGTCCCAAACTCCTGGCTTCCAACACCTTCAACACTCCTGCTCCTACGTTCATGTTGCTCTCAGTGGGTGGGGCACAGTGTCCTTAGCTGCCAGGGCAAAACGGCAAACGTGACACTACATACAATATATTGTTTAGCTTGTGTTTGGGGCCTCTGAAGCAGCCGGTCACGATGGAGATGGACCCTAGAGCCTCCTCCTCTGGGCTGGGCCTGGGACTGACTGACTGACTGCCCGCCACTAGTTGTGGCAGTCCCACTGGCCCTATGTGTATGCGTAGTGCTCTCTCGGCTGTGGGTTCCTCTGCCAGCGTCACCACTGGGTCCAAGCCAGCTGGGCATTGGCAGTGGACCCATTCAGTGCCTGGTAGAAGTCCCTCCACGAACTGCTCCAACACAATCAAGTGAAACGTGTGTAGTTATTTATTATATACACGAGTAGTCAACTGACCTCATTTTTTTGGGGCATATAATGACTTAAAGCTCAAAATAATCAAAATATTTGGTAATACAAATGCAAAACGGAAACACTTAGGCATCATCCTGAGAAGTTTTACTTACTGTACAAACATTAACATAAGGCATCAATGCGACGCACTAACTTAACTGTCAAAAACTGGCCCGTTCAGAGTGGACGTTACAGCTCCAGGGTGCTGGCATTTTGAATGCTGACGCACTGCAATAGTGGTGTCATGGAGGGAAACCTTAGATTTGGTTTCAGGAGATGACCTGACCTCTCCTTTTATTTTTATCCTGGACTTTTTGTCTTTTATTACATGGATTATTTATCTAATAAATCCTAATAGTTCAGTACATGTATATTCTTTATGTATGAGCTGCTCAACTTGAGCCTGACTTTTCTTGTATTGTGTGTAAAATAACTGAGTCTCTTTCTCACAAAGAGGGTTACAGATTATTAATTCTCCTTAGATTCTGCGTATCGAAATGCTCTTACCTTTACTACGCGGCGTGAATGCTATTGCTGATTATTATTTTATTACTTTTTATAATTGTGTTTGTTTTACAATTTTAAAATCTTTCCTGCTGTTTTTTCTTCAGGTGGAATGTAAAAGAAGAATGAGGGAAGAAATAAATCCCGCACACCGGGACACGTAAAGACACACAAAGAACAATCTTCTGGATATGTGGATAAATACAAACAGAAGCATGTATATAACACTAGTGAAAGATGTACAAAAGCATTTAGATCCTACTTCAGTCAAGAGAAATGCTAAAAAGCTGTCTAGATGAGCATTTTAATCATATCATTAAAAGTAACTTGACTGCATGTGGAGGTTCATTTCCCTCAGAAATTCTTAAGTATGAGTAAACGTTTATAGAATTCCACCTCTGAAGCACACGGTGAATAAGAAGCAATGTCAACTTCTTCACACTGAAGCCATACAACACACAGTGGCACTTGTTCTTCCCTTAGCACTCAATGTGTCTGTCATATTTCTGCACTAGACAATCTCTAAGGTGAAATGACGATTTTACATACAGTGACTTGTTACTATGCTTTACGAGGTTTAACGAGTGATGATCTGAATTGCAAACTAAATGAAGATGAACAAGTAAAGCTAAGTATGCTGGAAACCATCTGTGGCGGAGGTGTGGTCCCGGGCGCGTCTGCAGGGGAGGAGTGGTGCAGTGTTTTCACCGGCATCTCCAGCACCGCCCCGTTGAGCCCACTGCACCACTCCTCCCCTGCAGACGCGCCCGGGACCACACCCCCGCCACACCATCTTGTGCTCTTTGATAGAAGAAATTCAACGTCACTTCTTCAAGTTCAACCTGACATAGGCCGGCCATCTTGAGAGTTCACAATTATATTTTGTACAGGGATGGTTAGCAGTAGACAACTGTGCACTTGTCGTAGCATGGGGAACCGTTCCAGTTAAGAACTGGTACCACACTGCACAGTCTTCATCTTTAACTACAGCTGCAGGTATCAGCCCACCAAAAGCTTCAGGCAAGTTTTACTGGGTTATACACTAGGTTCAGATTTTGCAGCATCCCAATCTTCCCTTTAAAGGAAAGACCAAGGGTAGATTGGCTTTATTTTGTGCACTGTATAAAGTTGTATCTTCAACTTTTTGCCATCTTTTCTTACCAAAGACTGAGCATTAGCCCATGTAACATGGATTTTCTTGTCAAAGAAACAGACTAGACTTAACTTGCTCTCGACCAAGTTAAGTCTAGTTGTTAAAGCTCAAACACCTTCAAAACTGAAGTTGCTGTAACACATACAGCCAAATTCAAAAAAGTTTCGGGGGCTTTTTTGTTTTTGTAAATAGTTTTGACGAAGAAAAGCACCAAGACTTCTTTTTTTTTTCTACTCAAAAAAATACACAGACGTGAAATGGTTTTATGCTCATGTTGAGCATTAAATCAGCTGGGTTTTTCTTCTTCTTCTCTTTTTTTCTTCTTCTCAGTCTGAATCTTGCATGTGGCTTCAGTGTGAAGACAGTTTTAGGAGGCACTTGTTTACACAGTTGCTCCAAGCTCCAACTGTTTGTAAATACTGTAAATCCCCAATTTTGAATATATCTGATATTTTTTGTTACTAACTATGGTAACTAGGGAATTGGCTAATATTTGATTGTCTATGAATCCTTTGTGTATTTGATGGTTTGTGGAAAAAATGGCAAATGGCTGACTGAATATGACAGTGGATCCTGTAGATATGGTGCAGGGGGATGGCAGGCATGAAAGAGTCATTTTCCTCTGTGGCAACTTAAGATCCTGCTTGTGTCACCTGAATATAGCAGAAACAAGTGTTGTGCTTTTCTCCTCACATTTATCTGTTTGTATATAAAATTAAATATCATAACCTGTCTATTTTGCTAGAAATAGTATGGAGGGGTTTTCATAAAGGCTCATGGCTGCCCAGAGTGTCCACTAGAGGGCAACACCAGATCCAGCAGTGAGTGTACTACAGTGATTCCACAGCTTGTTTTTTCTCTTCGCCTGCAGGAATAATAATAATAATAACGATAATAATAATAAAGTTAAACTGACTATCATTCCCTTGTTTCCTTCAACCAACAATTTTAAAAAGAAAGTGTTTTACTTTTTGAATAGATTGGATTAGCTTAATCGCTTTCTTTCACCAGCAAAGTTCAAAGATCTTCAGGATCATGGCTCAACAGCTATGAATAAGTAAAGTGACACACATCGGTACACCCTGAAATAATTTTGCAATTGATATATTATCTGCTGATTATTAGTAATTTAAAAAAAATTCTAGGTGACAACTTTAACTTTAGCATAAAATATTTTTATGAATGATTAGTCACTTTGCCAAAACAAATTGCAGGAAATTGTATTTTTTTTAAGTCAGCTACCATAGACATCTCCAACTTATATTGATAGACAGAAATAAAAGACTACTTCAATAAAAGATGTACTTTTCCTTTGTGTCAAACAAATCTCCGTAAATGTAATTATTAAATATAATTATGAAGTCTATAACTTGTAATTTATATGCACATGTTTGTGTAAAACAAAAAAGGTAAATTTGACAACCATGCATAAGTCAAATTTACCTGCAGGAGAAAAAAGCAAGTGGAAACTATACGCTGGCCAGAAAAGTTCAGTTCCAACTTTTCCTAGAAGCAACAGCAGTGCTGACATGCTGGTGTGCTCCTTCACATTCTACTTGCTGACAGCATAATGTGTTGCCTGAGTCCAGCATGAAATACTTGGTTATTTATTTGTTTTGTATTCTAAACATAATGTTTATTTTCATTAAAACTGATGAAAAGTTGTGACTGGAATGCGTGTGGGTTTTTCTTAGTTTGTTTTTAATAATGTGCTCTCAGCTTGGTCCATAAAAGGATTCCTTGCTACAGAGAAATGCCTTTTCCAAGTCCAAAAAACACGTGTGGACTGGTTGGGTAAAATCGCATGCACCCAAAATATCCTTGAGAGGATAAAAAGCTGGTCCAGATTGAGGAGTGTTCCTCTGCTGTGTCTGTAGAAAGCTCTGTATGAATAAACTTCAACTCAGTTTACTTACCCATTTGAAATCAGCAGCATCCCACCACCACTGTAAACAGTGTTCAGAATAACCCTTCCCCCTTTGTATGAATCTGCAGTCTGCCAGAAGTGGTCTGCCGGAAGAGGGAGTTGAAGATTTCGCGGAGTGGGCCTCTGACATATGTTCTCAAGCTATGCATTGAGCTGAGCCCGACTATATCTAATTGGTATCTCCCAACCTCACGCACCAGCTCAGGTTCCTTCCCCACCTGCAAGGTGACATTGTACCAAAGGCCAGTTTTGGAAGCTGAGGATTGGAGCACCACGACCTCTGCCTGCCACTCGATCTACAAAGCATTGAACCCTTTGGTTGCTTGGCTGGTCTCAGAGTTAGGCAACCGTTTCTCAAAATGTTCTTGATCTCATAAAGCCATCCTGAAATCCAAAGTTGCATTACATTCAGGCAGGAAAGAAAAATTCGGACAGCTTATAGATGTAGCTTGGATCACAGTTAGTAGCATTAGCTCATAGCTTAGCACTCTACATTCTTTCAAAATATCAGCTACAACATGTGGAGTCCAAAATAAGTGATGTCTCAGTGGCTGCAAAGTCTTTTTCACCTCTGGTGCCTGTCCATTGCTTTGTAAGGTATTTAAACTCATACTCATTTAGCTTGATCTGCTGCTGCTTACCAATCATCGTCTTAACCTGGCTCCAGCAACTCTCTCCCATAGCTTTAAAGAATGGCTCATCTCCTTAAACCCCCAAATCAGTTCCGATACACTTCTCGATTTCTCTGTTCCTCACGTGTTCTCTTATTCTCCAAGATTGTGTTAAACACAGGACATAAAGTCCACTGCCTGTTCTCCTGGGCATGTCCGTACCTCTACAGGTATGTCATCTGAACCAACTGCCTTTACACACTTATTTTTTACAACTGTCATTGTTTCCTCCCTAATAATCCTCTGCGCTTGCTGCTTCGCTAAAGTTACTCCATCTGTGCTCATTTTCTACATTCATGAGCTCTTCAAAGTAATCCATCCATCAATACTCTGCACTTGTTAGCACATTTCTCTTTTTCATTTTCCCTCTTTTTCTTTGGTAACTTCTTACTTTCAGTACTTTCCTATACTTCCTCATTTCCACCACCACTGCGCATCACAAGGACAAATGCACACGCAGTGGAGCCCGTTCTCACTCCTGACGCGTAATATACTGACGATTTGTCACGTCCCAAAGTGTTCCATGGGAACGCGAAAGATGTCCTTCTGCGTTCATATGCTACGCGCTGGATTGTGGATGAATCTTAACCACCACCTTAATCATGTTAGATAGTACGGAGCCCCGCAGGGGACATGGGAGAAAAGAAATTAAGACGGACTTTTGCAAGATCTCGCAAAAGTTTTGCGAAATCTCACAAAACAAACTCGGGATCTCGCAAAAGTTGAATTCCAACAATGGCGGCAGCTACTTAGTTGTAATATTACTCTTTCTGGGTCACAAAATACACTTTTAAGATATTTTGAGGCGTGAATGTAGTTGTGTAAACATCAGATACCTGCTCGGTTTACAAGACATCTGTCATGGTCCTGGGTCTCCTGACCCAGCGTTTTTAGTTCTTCGTGATGTTTGTATTATTGTACTTGTGTGAGTTATTCTATGGTTTCTAGTTTCGATCCCTTGCCCTTCATGTTTCTCTGTGTCCCCTCTGTTCTGTGTAGTCTGTGTCTGCATGTTTGAGTTCCCCCCTGTCTCTCGGTTCTTAGAGTCCTCTGCCTTATGGTTTATGTCTCTGTGTTTCTTAGTTGCTGTCTCCACTGTGTCAAGTTTGCGTCTCTGTGTGATCCTTCCTGTTTTACTTTGATGGTCCGTGTCTTATGTGAATGTGTCCTGCTTTGCTTGTCTCGTCCAGCCTGATTACTCCCAGCTGTGCCCTCCTTCTGTGTCTCATGCCCTCGTTATCCCTCTGTGTATTTAAGCCCTGTGTTTCTCTTTGTCAGTGTCGTAGTCTCCCTCATGCTGTGTGTTTCTACCTGTAGCTCCCTGTGTGTTTTGTTAGTCTTCCCAGTTTAGATTTTGTAGAGTTTTTGTGTTCAGCAATAAAAGCTGCCCTTTTGAGTTAAATCCTGTCTCCAGTGAGTTTGCGTTTGGGTCCTTCTCCTGCCTGCCACACAGCCGAAACATGACAACATCACATATTTGCAAAAGTGCTCCGATGTTTTCGGAGATCTGACACCCACCATCTTGAAGCTAACGGGAGGTCGAGACCTACTACAGCCGGGAGGAACACCGCTTTCCCGGCACATCGTGCCTCGACCTCCCGGTCGGCTTCGATCTGGCGGCCTCCGAAGAATGCAGCTAAAACTTTTGCGAGATCCCGAGTTTGTTTTGCGAGATCTTGCAAAAGTCCGTCTTAATTTTTTTTTCTCCCATGTCCCCTGCGGGGCTCCGTAAGATAGTGTTTTCCAAAGCGATTTGAGTAAAATAAACATACATGCGTAGATTTGTTCCAAACTGTTTTGATGTTTTCAAATTTTTCCAAACTCATAATATGTTGGGTGGCTGAAAGCGTAGTATAATATAGGATAAAACACTTTTTTACTAAGTGTTTTATCCTATTGTAAAGTGTCCTTGGGTGACTTGAAAGGCGCTCATAAATAAAATTTGTTATTATTATTATTATTATTATTATTATTATATCGACGATTTGTCACCTAGCGTAAAATGTTACGTCTTGGGACTGAGAACGTGTTGCACATTGTGGTTGTTTTGTGTCTTTTATGTTTTTTATTGTCACATTTATTTACTCTTTTTAATTCACCCAGTTTGATCTTTATTTTGTTCTATTTTATTTTCATTTTACAATTTATTTTTTATTTGAACTAAGCGGAGTGCTCCGCAGGTGTCGACACCTGCACGAGAGATGTAGGCTACTGTTGCAGTTTAACCTACAGAGTTTATCTCGTGTGAAAGATGTCACATTACAAATTCCAAATTTGTAGTGTGACATTTGTCTCTACGATGGCTTATGGGAGGCATATCGATGCTGCTTTCCAGATGCCTCGGAACTCAAATGTCGGAACTTGGGAGTGATGTCAATCCCAAGTTAACCCAACACTTACTGATGTCATTTGCTCTTACACTGTGTTTTGTAGAGACATGATTAGTCTTTCTATCCAAGTTTTTTCTTTTTAATAAAATACCCTAGTAATTAACCATTGGTGACTAAATCTGTGAAGTCCATCATACTGAAAAGGAATCTTGGTTTTAAACATAGTACTGTGGTGGTTTGCTTACCAAGGAGGCTCAACAATGAGTCGTCTCTTCCAGGGTGCCAGTCAGGTTTCTCTCCCTGACATATAAACCTAGTTTGTTTTGCAAACCATACACAAAGGAAGCTCAAGCACTTTAAGACCTGACACTTTAAACATCAAAAGAAAACCAGCCCAGTATACTTTGTGAACACCAAGCAATATATTAAACGCTGCAATTGCACATAACAATTCCCAAAACACCCATCTACCAAAATATGTAGTTAGTAATTCTTCTACCCATTGATTAAACTCTTCATAATGATAACCTTTTTAATTTACCAGGTTTAGCTATAGGGAAGCCTTACAGGACCGAGCTGCAGACCATCTTCCTGGACTGTGCCTTGAAAATAATCCTGAAAACCACAGCGGTTTTCTCCTTGGTGTTTTACAAACACGAGGTAAGCTAGCACGGGAACTCACTGAACGAGGTGGCCAAGTGTTGACCGTGATGCGTTGCAACAAACTGATCATTTCCACTCTGATCTCTCTCGCACTTCATTCTGTGTGTTGGTCCATATGAAAAGGAGTGATTGGCTGATTGGCTGGTTTCATTTTTTGGAGGTTGGGCAGTTCAGACTCCTTGCATAGTGAATGTAAAAGAACACAGTTTTTAAAATCAGCTTTTTTCACTAGCCATCACTCAACAAATTATAGCTTTGTTATTTTGTGGGTTACATGATGCTGAAAATTATTATTAGTTCTTGTTTTTAGTACTTTGTACTATGTTTATTTGTTGTGTGTTGTGTCTGTATTGAGAGTGTGCATGTAAGGATGCATGACTCGTGCCTGCAGAACAGGTGCAAATAAAGTAACCTGAACATGAACCAAATCTCCTTGTCCTCTTTTTCTCGTCCCGAACATGCACCAAACACCTTCTTGGCACTTTCCCTCAGCACTACAGCTATATTTTCCCAGTCATCTGGTAATACTTCCTTACCACTGAGAATCTGGCTCAACTTCTGGAATTCTGTGCA